ACCAAGGTACCATGTATGTGTAAAAGTATATTGGAGTATCTCAAAAAACATGGCCGCCATCGGCCAATGAAGTTTGAGCACCTATTAAACAAGGTTACCGGAGGCCGATCGGAACGAAACTCGATGGGCATGTTCGACTCATGGCCCAAGAGGTCTGTAAGAGTTTTGAAAGAAATCGGCCACTAGTTGGCGCTAACGAGTTTTATGGCTCTGTAATCACGTGGTGTTGCACACATCCCCCCAAAATGCATATCAATTGATAGATCTCCTCATGGTGAACAACTTTGTCTCTAGAACCATTGCTGTCAATCAAATCGTTCATTAAATATTCACGAATATGTTAAAAACCTACTTTTGCGAACTAGTCCCTGGTTTTTCGCCCGATCAAAACCAGACCAGTCTAGGACAATTCTCTGGACTCTCTAGATCAATAATTATCGAAAAAAAGTTGAACTTTTGCATTTTTCATATGGCTATAATAGGGTCATTAAGAAAAGGTGCTTAGCAAAATACACTCAAAAGCCTATAAATCATAAATAAAAAGTCAGAACTTCATAAAAATTGGTGTGGATATGTGTCATAACATGCTGAAGAAGCATGCACAGTTTCATGGAGATCGGACAATTGGTGGCGCTATAACTGTTGAAAAGCTTTAAAACCATGTATTTCCTATGGTAAATTGCCTGTATTGGCTGTAAAAGGTGTTTCCCATCTATTATCATATAATCTTTATATCATAATGTTCAAAATCAGTGCAGTACAATTCTCTGGACTCTCTAGATCAATAATTATCAAAAAAAGTTGAACTTTGCCCTTTGCTTCGCTATAACAGGGTCATTTATAAAAGGTGTGTGTCAAAACACACTCAAAAGCCTATAAATCATAAATAAAAACTCAGAACTTCACAAAAATTGATGAGCATATGTGTCATACCATGGTGAAGAAGCATGCAAAGTTTCATGGAGATCGGACAATAGGTGGCGCTATAACTGTTGAAAAGCTTTAAACCCATGTATTTCCTATTGTAAATTGCCTTTATTGGCTGTAAATGGTCTTTTCCATCTATGATCATATAATTTTCATATATTAATGTTTAAAACCAGTGCAGTACAATTATCTGGACTCTCTAGATCAATAATTATCAGAAAAGGTATAATTACTTCATTTGGATGGCTATAATAGAGTGTAAATCGGATGGCTATAACAGCTATAACAGCTTGGATGGCTATAACAGCCAATAAGTGGTATTTTACTGCCCCCTGCTGTCATTTCATCATACTGCTCTCTAATATTTTTATATATAATTGATATTTAGACTTTATTAAATCATTATTTTAACATTTACAATCACATTTTACAACAATAATAATAGGAAAATGTATAACTTCTTCATTTGGATGACTATAATAGGATCACTTCAATATGTAGCCTTGACCGAAAGCCAATATCTTTTCAATAAATGCTCATAGCTTCTTAAAAAAAGGTCAAGAACAGCTATAACAGCTTGAAAAAAGGCTAACAGCCAATAAGTGGTATTTTACTGCCCCCTGCTGTTTAAAAAAAGTCATTTTGTCACACTACTCAACTATAATTAATATTTAGACTTTATAAATTCACTATTTTAACATTTACAATAACATTTAGTCAAAAATCGTCTATTGAAGTGACAATTGAGTCACATTGGCTCCTGAAGTTCCAAATGTCTCTATCTACATCAGAATGAGCGTGTGTAGATTAAATTATATGAAAAACATGGCCTATTGTATAAGTAGGCTGTAATAGCACTGTTGTCCACTAGATGGAGCAGCAGCATTAGATATTTTTAATCTTTTTTTATATGATTTTCACAATAACATATCCCAAAAATGTGTGTGTGTGTGTGTGTAAGCAGGCATTATGGAGTTAACATGAAAAAAATGGTTTGCTTCAGTGGAGAATACTGGAGAAACAAAGTAGTTGAAAATGAAAGTGAGCCAATAAGTGGTCTTCTACTGCCCTCTGCTGGCCACTCTTCTTATTAATAGTCTTTTTTTGTATATAGACACTATAAAATCACTTATATAACAATTACTATTATAACACATTCATATTTTGTCAGCGTTTATCACTTCAATTGTTCTTATGCTTCACATAATTGCTATCAACGTGGTAAATCACGGTAAATAACGCCAGAAACATGGTAAATCATAGTAAAAAAAGGTAAATCATGCTAGAATCCTGGTAAATTATTCTAGAATGTGCTATATCATGGTAAATCATCATATAACATGGTATATCAAGGTAAACTATGGAAAATCATGTTACATTCATGGTAAATCATACTGGAACATGGTAAATCATGAAAAATCACACTGAAATGTAGTATATCATGGTAAATCATGCTTGCTACATAAAACTTAATGTATTTTGATGCTTTTGTGCTTAACGGCCTTAAAGGCCTTAACTGCTTGAACACCGCTAAAATGCTGCTTGCAGCTTTAATTATTATTATTTTTATTATATATACATGTAATAGCATAATATTTTCTATTAATATTTTTATGCATTTACATAAATGTATTTTCATTATTATTATAATATACTGATGGTCTATATTTATATATATTTATATATATATATATATATATATATATATATATATATATATATATATATATATATATATATATATATATAAATAAATATATATATATATATATATATAGCAAGAACGAAAACATTCTGGCCAAAGTGTATATATATATATAATATTTTACTTTTTAAATATACTTTGGCCAGAAAAAAACTTTCGGGTCTGTTTTGCTTTAAATTATGTTTCAGATTGAATAAAAATTAGGCTCTATTGAAAGCATCTGTGAAATGGTGCTGATTACCACAGAAAGTCATTAGATGTTTGTGAAAACACAATCAAAAATTGTGTGCACAGTATTTTTAACAGCTAGAAAAATGGCCCCACCACCAGAACGATCTACAGATCAAGTAAAAATTACTTTTAGCATGAAAAAAAGTGCTTTAACAAAAATATGAGCTGCAAGTTTCATAGACATCACTGTCTATTTTTTCCTCAGATTTTTCAAACTATGATTTATTTTCTCTGACAATTGACAGCTTGTCATATACTGTCGATAGATCTTACATGCCGTGTATTGAACCTGGAACATTCCTTTGATCTAGAGGTTTCAAGAGTGTATTTTTATATCTTTTGCACATCAAAGTATGTGATGCTGAAATACAGCAAACCTGTGAATAAATAAGTGTTCTGTTGCCTAGCACTTTGAGGTTTTGTCTGAGGGCTCGATTTGGCTCCTTGGCTCCCTATTAAGCTGGCAGTACAAACACAAATGTCGCTTTGGTAAGAAAGCATCTGCAAAGAACATAAATGTAAATGTAAAGGTTTCAGAAGCACTCTGGTGTTGTGAAATTTCTTTTCAGAGACTGGCAATATATGACAGTATGTGCGATCTCATCTGTGAAAAGCATGCCGATTAAAAATAGAAAGAAAACGAAGGCCGTATAATGATCACGGGAAGGTCACAGAATTTTTTTCTCCATTAGTGGGTGTGAAGAGATACAAAAATGGAGCCAATCAGCTCAGCAAGATAACAAGCATAAAAATCAAAAACCCAATGTTTCATTATCTTTCAACATCTTTTTAATCTGTTCTCAAACCAGTTCTGGTGTAGAGCACACTGACCTGTGGGTCCATCCAGAACGCATTTACATTTCAGAAAGAAATATAACAAATATAGTCTGTATGCTTGACAGTTCATAAAGGATTTCCTTTTGACATTCTGTTTTGAAACTCTTTCCCGATTACTAGACAAATTCCCTCTTCAGTAAGAACATGATATGACTAACCATAATGACTCAACGATGACATTGCATGCTTCCGTATGCTTTACAAGCAATCGTTTCTTAGGAAGAGAGGAAAGATGACTTTTTATTGTTATGTAATGAGGCTGTAAACATTATCTTCCCCAGGCAAAGCCCCATGGGTGATGCTATTAGTCACCCTTGGTTTTTGTTGCGTATTTCAAGCTGCTTTCATGAGCCCAAAACAGCTGGAAGAACATCCAGAGTTAAATAAAATGCTCAGGGTACATCCTCGTAATGCAAAATGTTCATTAGAACAAAGGTTGATGGTTCTAATCTTTTCTTTTACAATCTTATAAAGTTCCCATGCAATCTTAGTGACAAAAACAGCATATTTGATCAAACTACCAGCTGCTGAAGAGCTGTAGAGAGGAGCATTTCATCATATGAACATACACTTTTAATTATGACAAAATAAAACTGAGGAACTGAATCTGTCACAGTCAAAACACAGGCAATGTTTGAAACTTGCTGGCAGAAATAGGCTATATAATAAAGAAAAAACTAAATAAAAAACAGCACAATATGTAGTAAATCAAAATAATACAAAAATGAAAAAGCTTTCCAAATAAATAAATTACTATAAATTGAAAATAAAAAAGAAAGAAAAATAATAGCCAATAAAATAACAATTAGGCTATAGTTATAAAAAAAAACAAAGAAAAATGGTTACTAAAAACTATATGTATTTTTAAATCTTTCTACACAAAGAAATATCAATATTTTCCCACAAAGATGTAATAAATCGTAAAAATAAATGTCTTACGTTTCTTATTGAACACTGTTACGAATGCCAAAATCTTTTGTTTGCTTTTTCCCGAGAGAATAAAGGTTTACGAGTTATCTCTGACATCATGCTTTTGTGTTAAACAGAAACCCGAGAGTGTATGAGCTCAGCGCTGATGGCAGGGGTTATTCTTCATCTTCATCTTCATTCTTAATGCCTGACGCTGCCGCAGGAGCTCAACCTGAGGGAGAGCGAAAACTCGACCATTACATCATTGCTATGGGATAGACCGATGCCCCGCCCCCCGTGTGTCATTGGCGGAGCGACCTGGCTTGACGTCCCCATTGGTTAATGACAGCGTAACGGGAAGCAGCGAGGGGGCGTGGCCTCGGCGTGTAGGGGCGCTTCAAATACACTGTAAAAGATGCATAAGGGAGCGATGCTGATGCTGGTGATGCGAGAATAATTTCAGGCAAGCTTCGAACGGACCGAGATGGTGATGATGGACTTCATTTTTAGGTTAAAATAAGCAAACGCAAAATCAATTTAACTGCCCACCGTAGACGCGGTTATTTGCTCAAATTGCAACATAATAGAGAAATAGGTGAGAGTGAGACCCTGGATCGGATCTATCCTACGATCGCTGGAGGTAAGGGCGTTTCTGAAAGCATCTCTTTGGCGTTTGTGCTTTCAATTCAGAAGTTACAAACTCACAAACTGATGCCCCTTCTAAGAGGGAATAAGACAGCTGGGAAATGTACTGTATAATATTAAGAGTTTCTGAAGTTTCTGAGCTCGTACCTTTATTTTGGATTCGCTTGATTTTTTAATGGAGGTGATCGTCAACTCGTCTTCACCTGCTCTCAGTGACCCTGTAGGAAGCATCCAAAGAGCCTGAAATATTTAGAACCACATTGTCTTGTTTGTATGTATTATTTATTTGTTAGTTTGTGTCTTTTTTTTCAATTGGGTCACACTTTAAATTACAGTGATAATTACAATGTAGGCTACACAGAAATTACTGAGAAAACTACACTGCTCACTGTGTAATTTTGTGGAACTGTTTGCATATTATTATTAGTCTTACTGTAGCATTTTTTACAGTAACATGTAAAATATGACTGTAATTTAAAGTATTATGTGCATGTGTATATGTTTAGAGGTCTTTCTGTCATGCTATAACCTTTGACTTTTAATATACCAAATGGAGCCATTGTATTGTGAACATTTACCAAGTCGTATGTACTTTATAATAATAATAAGTAGAAACAATGCATCATAACCTATAGTTGATAGGCCAGTTTTGGCAGTGATGTTTTCTTGTTTAAGTGCCTTGTGTTTGCATGCGTTGAACAAAAATGCGCTGTTTAATTATAGCTGCTCTAAATAACACCGTGCAGAAGACCTCTGAAGTAACACACCAGGAGAAAATGGCCCATGGGAATATGAGTGAACGTAGCAGAGACGGCACAGGAACCCTTAACAGTCGTAATGGATGCATACATCCTCAGTTCATGTGATCTCACACTCCATTTGATTACTAAGTGCAGATTTATTTCCTTGGGCTGCTTTCCCAGCTGTTTCTTATTGCTTTAATGATAGAATCCCAGAGTGAGATTTTATTGCCGGATCTTTGTTCAGTAAATTGACAACAGTTTTGGCCTACAATGGTAGACAATTACTAAGTGATATTTCATTGCCCATGAATCTATTTTTTTTTTTTTTTTTTTACATTGAGGCATTTGGTAGACTTTCTATAAAGCAACTTACATTGCATTCAAGGCGTACATATTATCAGTGACTTTAGCATTAGTGCCATGCTCTACCGTTTGGAAATGCTTTTTGAAAGGGGCAATAGTCCTTATACAGGGCTTGACATTAACTTTTTTCCCATTACTAGCCACTCAGCATTTTCACTGGCCACAATTTTGAGTTCAATACCATGGTGAAAAACTGCCATATAGATATTTTTAATATTATTATTTGGAAGCAGGTATATTAGGCTGCTGTCACTTTAAGACCTGACGCACGGATCCATTATAATGTTACACATGCGTTTTCTTTCTCAACTCTTTACGTTCACTTAAAACATAACTGACTGTGTTGACATGAATACTCGCCAGGACCGGCATTTTGACATTATGTTGTGTGTATTTGACTGTTTAGGCACAATAAGCAGTGAACAAGAACTCAATCTAGTACTGAGAGGCGGCTTTATGTGCGTGCACTTTAGGTTAGTAATTAGTAATTCGCCTTTGGCTAAGCCACACCCTAGAATGTAGATTGACCAATCACAGCGCAGCCAAGAACGAGTTCCCACAGTGGTCCGACACTTTTTCACAGCGCTCCATTGACTTTAACACAGGCGTCTCATATTTTTGTTCTCGGCACAGTGTCGGCACAGTGTCGTCTAGCACACGTCGCTAATAAATACAACGTTATACTCGCGTAGTCTGTTTGCTTTGTAATAACGATTATAGAAGTGAATAGAGACCTACCCAGCTTTGCATGAACAGTGTTGCTCCTTGATATTGTTAGTCCCAGCCTCCGTCTCCATTAGTAGGACGGTGGTTCATATTTTGACTGTGACCGGTATGCTTTTGCCTCTATTTGGATGCCTTGTTGTTCCTTGTGTTTCACCTGTATGTCGTGATAGCCTTCGAACGTATATTACAGCCCCTTTTGCCTACTTCTATCGGACACTTTATTTGCTGCTTTATAAAAGTTTGATAAAATTTCAGCAGGAAGAGCTGTCACAGCATAAGCCATGTTGATACCAGAGCCCAGATGAAGTTTGTTTGTCGGACATAGCAACAGTAACTAAGGGGGGTGGGGCTTAGCCAAAGGCGAATTAGAATTAGTAAAATTATGCACAATATGCGCAATCCCACGCCGAAATTCAAGCCCTGTAACACCTGTAATATCAACCCGGCTATCTATTCTGCGGAAAATTTGTATTAGAAGCATTTCAAATATTTCAGTATCGATATGTCGATGATATATCGAAATAATCTAGATTTTTGACAACACTACATTGCACTTAGTTTATTATTTCAGATGCCTTTTTAAAAGACTACAACTGAAAAATGTATATAGTACTGTTACGTAGTGTAGCCTATATATAAATGTCCACCCACCAAAGTGGAATAACTGCATTACACTGCTGAAATACACCCACATTTGGCGGGTTGGCGGGTGTTAATGTCAAGCCCTGTACATTTATAAATATATACATTTTATTAATTTTTTTAAATATACATAATTTAAATAAAATATTTCCTTTTATGGGACCATGGAAAGCTTTTATCGAAGAGTTCTCTAGTGGAGGTGTTTCTCAGGCATTATCAAATGCTAATGCCGATCTCTGTGTGAGCGGTGGTTGTGTGTTGTGTGTGATGAAGTGTCCCACCTCCGGACCATGCTGGATGTGGGATGCGTCTCTCCAGCCTGAGTGCTGAAAGGGTTGCTGCCGATGCTTTGCATAATGCACTGAAGAGTTTGGGCTGTACAGAGGCACTGTTGCATTAGTTTGGAGAGGTTATTGAGAGCCAGCGGTGCTGTGGGTGGAGAAATGCATCAGGTCTTTTGTGGCCCAGAACAAAATGAACATGAAATAACTCTTGGACGAGTCCTCCTGTCCCCTGAGAGATACTTTCAGCTCCATCTCTCTCCATGTCTCTGTCAATGTTTAGGCTTATCTGCCTCGCTCACTTTCACTCCGTCTCTCTTGTCCTGTCCACTTCTTATCCTTATCTTCTTAATCAGAAATGATTCTCGCCTTCACAGGGCAATGTTGAATCAAAGGAAGAGAAAAGAGAACAGTGAGAAAGCATATCCCTTACCATTTAATACTAGGTTTCAGTTGATGAGTAAGAATCTAAATAAGCCAGACCCCACAGAAGTGGAATTGGAATGGCTGGAATAGGATCAAAAGAACTGATGAACTTCATTAGTCCAAAAATTATAGAATTATTTTTTTTACTAAACTCCTTATTACCCTCAAATTATTCTACAGCACCATACATCCACCGTCACGCTGCTTTCAGATAACAATAAATTAATAAATAAATAATCAAATAAATAAATATTCACAGTAAACTGTGGGGTAAAATAAAGGATTTTCAAATATTCTTAAATTAAAAATACATTTATATTTTTGGAATTTTGAAACATTGATTATTACTATTATCTTATGGAAATAACTATTATGTTGTGTGGATGTTAGCTTTTATGGGTATGGATACGGTATGAGTTCCTACTAAAAAAATAATTGTATTAAAAAGCTATTGTATGCACTCCTTTGAATTTCATTCTATTTTAATTCTACATCCATAAATTCAAATTGACAATATTTTGGATTTGAATTGGACTTTAAAAGGCATTCTCAGTCCAATCCAGAATAGCGCACAACTCTGTTCAGTAAACGCTGACTCCTGCCAGAGATTGCTCGTATTAGTTTTACAGCCTCGAATATTGCCAGATCTTAACTTTACTCTGTAATGTTTCATTGGAGACATTTAAACAGTGACTCATAAGTCTATTTTATTCACTCAGCCCACTCTCCCAGCGACAGTTCTCAGTCCTTTTTTTATACACTATTAAGTGTATTAATGGACAGTTATCTGCTGTATGGTGGGTGTATGTTCTGGGCCTTTACATTTAATGCTCACTGTTTTTTCACCCCAGAAGCCCAGTGATAGGGCAACTAACTTACTGGGCCCTACAATTGGATTTATTGGCATCAAAAAAAGAAAGCTTTGAATTTTAAGTGTTTTTCACTCGCAAAAATGCTTACGCTGGCTTTTCTTTGATTCAGCATGCATCCCATTTAATTTAAGCGCTGCACTAACTCCACTGCACATTTTTAGCTTTTATTTGGCTCTCTTCACAGCTTTGGATGTTGCAATGATGAAATGCATAGCGACACTGGCTCATGTCAACCTAAACATCCAGTTCTGACTGTTATACGTGTGTTAAAGGTTCACTGCTGGCAAAATGGGCTTTCAATAAAACTTTGCTGTCTATGCAGACACAGTGAAATCGGTACCTGACTATAGAAAACTGAGAAAAAAGGCTGTTGTCTTTCTCTTTTGCCAAAACTTCAACACCCATAATGCATTGGGTGTTGCCATCCAAGACCGCTCTGCTATGGATACACTTAAGCCTTGCCCAAACTAAAAGATTTTTAAAATCGTATCATATTTTCACAATTTAAGATACCACTAACATGACGATAAAAAATCATAGATTTAATAGTTGTGTTGTGTGTTGTAGCGTGTGGAGTGCCGCGATGTGACCAGGAAAACACACTACACACAGTGACAGATTCCATTCACAAACAACCAAATTCTTGACTGTAAACACGGGAAATCTCGCAAAATCTCTCACGGTCAAATGTGACTTTATAGTAAATAAACATGGCGGACGACGGGCAAGAAGAAAAAATTGTGTTTAGATTGCTTTTTACAGAAAATTGTCGGGGAAAAAAGAAAAAGGTTTGGATGAAGTCGTGCTATGCTTCCGTCTTCTGTCAGCTCGCTTTCTGATTGGCTATCGTTTCGTTCCATTTGACAGAGTGTGTGCGTTCGTCCTCGGGGTTCTCCTCACACAACAGGATTTTTGATCATAAATATTCAACATGTTGGATAT